TCATCCATCATTTGTCGCCCATCCTTATCCTTACTTTTGTCTTTCTCCCTTCGTTTCTTTCTTCTCTTTCCTTTTGTCCATCTGTCTATCCAACCATCTGTTTGCCCTCTATCCATGAAACTAAAATTGCGCTTTGGTGTCTTTCATTAGAGGTTTATAGTTCGAAGACGACGAAATCTGAACACCTTTAACAGCCACTTGAGTTAGCAAATGAACTAATTCCGGATTTGCTTGCAAAGCGCAGCAATAGAAGACATTTTTATGCAAGTCAAAGGCAAAAAAGAAAGAGGAAAATGTTTACCATTTTACCTCCTCACACCCCTTATTTCAGGGAGTGAGGAGGCTGTAATTAAAATATCCGTCTGTTATCTAAATATTTTAGCTGCAGGTCCTTATAATTTTTGTAGCTGTGGTTTAAACAGTTTTTCTACTTTTGTCTTCGTCAGAAAAATGGATAGTCCTCCTACATACGTGGATCTTGGCAAGGCCGCCAGGGACATCTTCACCAAGGGCTACGGTGAGCGACGCCTTAACCACAGGACAATATTATTCACTGCTGGGAATCTCTGAAGAGAGCAAGCGGTTTTGTATTTTTTATTTATTTATTTTTTTGCCGAGTCATAATACAGTCTAGAAAAATTGCTGCTCTTTGTAAAGCGGCTGTGAGAATGCTAATCTGCTGAATGGGCGTAGCAGAAGATGCCAAAGAGAGGATTCCATTGAGTAACACAGGACGCATCGTCTCACACAGGCTCGTCTCATTTAAATATGTTACTAGTGTCCGCAAAATGCTTGAGCTGTGAGGACCGGGACCCCTTGATCTAAAAGTCTGACTGGGCTCATGGCTTCACATGATGCCATTTAGGAGAGGGAGCGATTCAAAAATGACCCAACAAAAATCATTTTCTACGGATGTCACATAGCAGTTTCTGTGGCAGAACTGTTTAATCTTGCAGTTTTTCTTGCTGTACTCTTCTGTCAGGCAGGGTCCTGTGGGGTTAAGTACCACCCACATAAAGAGGCTTTAGTTCTAGACACGGCTGTCACAGGTTCGATTCCCGGACTGATGACCTTTGCCACATGTCTTCCTTCTCTCCCTGTACCTACTTCCTGTCTTAGCACCTCCAAATAAAGCCAAAAAAAAAAAAAAAAAAAAAAACGTAACAAAATATGAAATAAGTGAAATACTTTTCTGTCAGGCAAACGTTTCAGATGCTTCCGTTCTGTGGCTTGAGGTGGTTGAGGCTACTGCTAATTAGCTGCTAATATACCCTTGCTAGCTAGCTTTTTTGTGTCTATCATGGGTATTGGCTCAACCGATACACTGTCACATGCATTCTGTGAAAAAAAACCTCAGCACTTCCAGAATAAATAAGACATGGCAAGACATGCAGGCCTTAACTTTCGTTCACAATGGTCTTAAAAAAATCTTCAAATTGAGTTGGTTGCTTCTCTGACATTCGATCGGCTAGCACTCTCAGTGGAGTCCTCCTGCTCACTGCGCATGTGTTTTGACCCCAACAGGCTTCGGGTCTGTGAAGCTGGAGCTGAAGACCAAGACTCAGAACGGAGTGGTGAGAACTCCTTTACTTTGCTCCATTTCTCCTCTCATCCTGCTGCTCTCCAGCCAAGCCCATCACCGCTGCTCAGACACCTGCAGAGTTGCTGTTGCACATCTTCTGCTTCACGCTCCTTTAAGCACCAGTAACCGCTGTATGATCTGAGCTTTAAGGTTTCCCAGGATGCAGAGTGCCTCCGGCGTTCCTGCTGCTTTGCTTTACCTGACCTCACTCGCAGAGAGACGTGACGGGCCGTGATTGGCCGTCTGTCTCTCTGCCTTTCCTTTCCTAACCGCCGCTCTGTTTCCATGCTGCCGCCCTGGACTGTTCACCCTCTAACGTAGATGGTAAGATGGACGTCCCGAACCTATCTGACCGCTCTGGCCGCCCACTCCCCGTCCCCCCCAACGTGACGCACAGAGCTCCATTCACCCCATCCTTTGCTTTTACTGTCCGTTTCACATTTTCTTTTACGTTTCTTTTTGTCTGTAATGTTCAAGTTTCTTTCTGTCATTTGTGATTTCAGAGTATAATATTAAGAATAGAGAAGCATTTTACCCTTCCTTACATTTAAAGTTCAAAGGGAAACCTCTAGACATCTAAAATATTCCTGCTGACATCTTGAAGTTTCTTAAAGCGGCAGTATTCTGTAAAATCAACTTTTTTGCGCTTTACGTGAGGTTATAATGTTATTCCCTCATCAAAAACTGACCTGAAGGGTTGCTTTGATTATTTCAGGCATGTTTGACAAATTCGTTAATCACTATGGTAACCATTCAGCTGAGCAAAATGGCTAGCTGGACCTAGCCCCACCTTCAAAAACAGAGCTACAGTTCTCCAGCTTCCAAGCTTGAAAACTGGGTGGGACTCCCCCACTCAGCTCCTTCAGACTAGCCAGGAGCAATTAGCAAACATCTGGTGGAACTGCACATCAGCTGAGCTTGTTGTAGGAGCTACTTCTCAGAGCAACGGAAGGCGAAGTTTCAGACAGTGCTGGGATTTCTTAAAGAGACAGTCTATTTACAAAGTAAAATCAGTGCGCCTCTTCTATTCTTTTCTCTGCAAATGAACAAACCATCTTAGTATTAAGATGAAGAATCCAGCTAAATTTCACATAGTGTCTTTGAACTCAGCACTACTTAGTTTGTTTCCCTGCAAGCAATTTTTAAACTTGTTAACCTCAGGTGGGTTTAACTCAAACCAGAGTTAAAATACAAGATTCTTGACTTAGTTCCACCTGTTCTGTCACGAGTAAATGATTATTGTGGAGAACTAAAAATCTTAATTTTAAACATTTTCAGAATATCAAACAGCTTCAGGAAAATTCTATACAGACAAGTATGTAATATGTGTAGTTACATATTTCTGCCACTGGAAGGCAGTGTTGGCAAGTTTTTTATATTGTCTCCATATAATTTGTGGAAACTTGAGGAAAAACAAAGGTTTTCCTGTTTGTTTTAAATTTTTGTTTCTCATCTTATTTACTTTCTACTTTTACCAAACAGTGTGTGAAGACCCGCTCAGAGTTATTATGAGAAACATGATTTTGAGTTGTTGAAAACGATCATCCCTAAAAACCTTCTGACATGTCTGTCTCAACAAGGAAGAAACCCAATACGAGATAATCATCAGTGTTTGTATTGTTTTGACTTTGGTTTCGGCAGGAAAAGCAGAACCAGTTCTGTCAAAATGTTGCAAAGTTCACTGTAACAAACGTCAGATGACAATATATACAAAATATGTTGAGGAATGTTTTAAAAACAATCTGTATTTTTAATCTGAATTAATTAATGTTTACATAAGAAAAAAAGCCACAACCAAGTTAACAATTAAAATGTATATTTTAAATTCTTTGACTGAATCTTTTCTGTCAGTGGGAGAAAAAATGTTCTTGATTACCATTTTTCATTTCTGTTTTGTTTGCACCTAACTTTTCTGTCTGCATGTTAAACTCTAGCTTTATGACATCAACATATGTTTTCAATATAGTGGTAGTATGAAAGACGTATTTTTTTAAAAAATGCATTGTACTTTTCTTGATTTTATCCACTTTTTCTGCCATCTTCTGTCTGTTTCTTGTACATGTTTGTAACTGGCGCCTCTTTGCATGAGAGCAGAGACATCTACATGTGCAGGTGTTGCTGTACCGATTCAAGTGCAGGCTGCAGGGGAAAGAAAGAACAACGTCCTTTTAATGCTGGAGTTCTGTGTAACAGGACATGATAGAAATGATCTTTAAGAAAGAACGCCTCGGCAGGCTTGTGAAATGTTAGCGTTCGTGACGGGAAGGAACGAAAGGCTGAACAAGAGTGGTTCGCTTGCAAACGTTGTCAAAAGCAACACTCTCTTCTCTACAACGCAGCACGAGTTTGACTTTGACCTGTAGGAACAACGTTCAGCTGCGTCAGAACCACTGGAATATAGATCCATAAAACCACAAACCTTAATGAACTGCAGAAATAGTTCATTAACTTGTCGCACGACAAGTTAATGAAGTTGATGGTTGATGGTGTTTTTATGAATGTTTACCACTGAAGTATCATTTGGTGAATAATGACTCTTTCAATGCAACTGAAATGTCATTATTCACCAAATGATACTTCATGACAGCAGTGGTAGACATTCATGAAAACTGTCTCATCTTCATGACAGGTTTTACATCATGTCTATGACAGTGTCATGTCAGTCTTATTCACACCCCGTCTATCAAAGTGTTACTGAAAAATCAGGTCCAGACACACAAAACCCTGGAATTGAAACAGGATTTGTCCTTTTTTCTTTCCCCTCCACTAACCATTTTTGTTGTTCCTAATCTGGTTCAATTAAGGTTGTGGGTATTTTTTTTGTTTTGTTTTTTAACCTCTAATAAACAGTTGCTTTTTAACTGTCAACAATAACAGTTGAGGCGCTCCGCCAGGCTGTTACCTCGTCCCCCTTCTTGTCGCTGTGCAGGAGTTTCACTCTACAGGCTACAGTAGCTTGGACACAGGGAAGGCCAATGGCAACCTGGAGACCAAGTACAAGATCAAGGATTACAACCTGACCCTCTGCCAGAAGTGGAACACGGACAACGTGTTGATCAGTGAGATCACTATGGAGGACAAGGTGTGTGGTGCTTTTTTGTTGTTCATTTAGTTTCTCCCTGCAAGTCATTGTTAAATGTTGCGAATGTTCTATCGGTTTAAATGTGCTGACACTAAGCTTTCCTCTTCAGATTGCTGCAGGACTGAAGATTGCCTCGGAAATTTCATTTGTACCAAACACAGGGTGAGGCCGCTTTTGTGCATTTCTGACTTTTTAGACCATGTCAACGTCTAGGTTGGCTGCAGTCCAAGAAGGTTCTGATGTTGTTTATTCACCTTCATTCATCTGAATACAGTTGATGAAATCGATTGTCACATTTATTTATTTTATTTTTTTGTAGTAATACGAAGAACAATCATGTCACCCAAATAAAGTAATAATAAAACAAGAATAAAGTAGCATTAATTTGGGAAGGACGATGTGATAATATCAAAAAAGAGACAATAAGACGAAAATAGTCATAATATTACAAGAAAACAGTCGTAATATTCATTACGACAATGAAGTTGCAATTTTTTTTTAGAACAAAAAATGAAACCGAGGAATGTTGAGCATCTTGTGAAGTTACCTTTATATCAGTTTTACAATTAAGAAACTACTTACTCTTCACACATCTGCATCGACTTATCAGTAGCAGGACTGTGAAATGATTTAGCAAACGTCTCTATTCCTCTTTATTCCGCTGTTACAACTTTATTATTGTCATTTTAAAAAGCAGTCTTTAGCCTGGACCTGATGCTCTGTTGTAATTGCCAGATTTGTCTGTAAGCTATCAGAAAATGCAACAAGGTTGTTTTTCAAAAGCAGCCTGTTGCGTCTTTGCTAACAAGTGTTGCTTTAACAGGAAGGCGTACGGGTGAAACCACACATTTACATATGCGCTTATCAAAGGACACAATCTTTTTACATCAGATGAAGCTTTTCCTGTTTTATGTAAGTTAGGATTAGTAAAATTATTGCTGTTTGCTCAATGAACTCAAAGTTAGAGTTTACATAAAGCAATCACGTTTCGTCAATCTGGGAAAGCTTTGACATTTACACTCAGGCTTTGTAATGGAGGAACACGTCTGGATTCACCGCCTCCTTGTGAGACATCATGGAGAAACCAAGAGAACCCAACCAAGATCCCAGGAAGACAAATGTGGAAGGTTCATCCAGATGAGAGGGACGTTTTCCCAGTAAAACAAGTTCTGCACTCATGTGGGCTGAACAGCCATTAGAACTTCAGCCAGGAAACAAACTGGTCTTCCAAATCCACATGGGGGGAAAAAGGACGTCCGGAGTCTGGTCGACACAATTTTTACAGCGTTAATAATCTGGATCGTTCCCGCTTAGTTGCAACATGCAGACACCTGAGAGCCTGGAGCTGCTTAGGGGCAGAATCACAAAGTCCTCTGACTTTTTGAACCTCCACCAAGAGGAGCTCCTGCTTGTCCACCATGTTTTTCCACACTGAACTGGTCGGGGTGCACCAGTGCTTTTGTGTTAAGAAATGTTTAAAGTTACAAAAATTTGGAGGCATCATAATGTGGATGTAATAGCAATGTGAGGCCAACGCACAGGTTCAGAAATGAAACTTCTAGTTCAACGCGTCAACTACTAACCGAGCTAAATCCAAGTCTTTACTGTTACTGGTGTATAAAAACCTTTTAAAATAAACATGGTAGGATGGTGGGGATGGAAAGCCTGGTGGGCTGCCAGGCTGATAATACACTGGAGGAAACCCTGAAAGCTGTCTCAGTTTGGTCATTCTGTCTTCAGCAATGGATCAGAATTCCAGGAAATAATTATTAGAAGTTTGTGGAGGAAAATCCAAAACATTTCAAGCTGAATTAGCAATTTTAGCAAATATGTGGTAATTTTTTGTAAACTTCTGATGGGGAAAAAAAACAAAGAAATTGCGTCAGTGTTTTGGCATTTAGCAATAAAATTCATGTTTGTAATCCCAGCAGCCTAAAAAATGTAAAAGTTGAAACTGATTCAATGACATTGTGCAATTGTAAATATATGATTTTAATGCAGTTCTGCAGTGAAGACAACCGTTAAGAGTAGTTGCTGCTTGACTTTATAGCAAGAAAACTGGCAAGGTGAAGTCTGCCTACAAGTCCCAGAGTATGAACCTCGTCTGCGACGTGGACCTCCAGGGCCCCATTGTCCACGGCTCTCTTGTGTTGGGCTATGATGGCTGGCTCGGCGGCTACGAGACGGTCTACGATGCCACCAAAACCAAACCGGGCCACCACAACTTCGCCCTGGGGTTCAGGTCTACGGACTTTCAGGTGCACACCTGCGTGTGAGTATTTGGTCCGAGTTCACCGGGTTTGGGCCTCGTCGACACGTCTCCCAACGCTTTCCTCCTGCGTCTCTCTCAGTAACGAAGGCAGCGAGTTCAGCGGCTCCATCTACCAGAAGGTGAACGACAAGCTGGAGACGGCCATCACCCTGGCCTGGACCGCCGGCAGCAACAACACCCGCTTCGGCGTCGCAAGCAAATACATGCTGGACAAGGACACCGCTCTGTCTGTGAGTCCTCCGGTGTCTCTCTGCCAAAGACTTTCAACCTCTTGTTGTTTGTTCTCGGTTCAGAGCTCATTATGTTTCCTCCCTCAGGCCAAAGTGAACAATGCCAGCCTGATTGGACTCGGCTACGCCCAGACCCTTCGGCCAGGTAGGCTCCGGCTCAGAACCGGGCTGCTCTGACCAGCCCAGGAATGTTGGTTCTTGGGCTGGTCGGGTTCGGGTTCTGTAGAAACAACTTCACAAGTCTCCATCTTTAATGGGATTCAAAAATATGACTGGAAAATGATATTTCTAAGCTTGTCTGTTCGTGTGCCGGTTCGTGCCTCGCTTTTTAAAGACACGCACGCTTTAACTTCTGCTGTGGTTGTGTGTCTGCAGGCGTGAAGCTCTCCCTCTCCGCCCTCATCGACGGGAAGAACTTCAACACAGGCGGACACAAGCTGGGGCTGGGCTTCGAGCTGGAGGCATAACCAGAACTCCTCACCTGTACCGGACAGCACCACCTTTCATGTAGCTCCTCTCCTCTGGACTCTCCTCACCTTTAAACACACACACACCCTCACACACGCACACACACACACACACTCCCTGCGCTCCTAACGAGCATTTCTGACACTAAAAGTTGAGTCGGGGGGAAGGGAGAGTGTCGGCCCTGAAATTTGGCGGTGCGCGGTTGCGAAGGAGTTCCTGATGTTCTGGCTGAAGTCACACCATTTTATTTCGCTGTCGGTCTTGAAAGACGTTGGTGTAAAAGTGTGTAACTCATTCCAGCTGTCTTTACCTTAAAGCATGAGAGAATGAAAACATGGCCGCAGAGGCTGGCTGATGTTTCTTTGCTTGGTTAAAAAGGTGCAGTGTGTCTGCTTTTTTCTTTTTCTTTTCAAATAGGTTCAAACACTTTTTGTTTGGTTCAAACTGAAATCCTTCATGAGAGCCTTTTGCGTGTGCGTGTCCGCTCTGCCTGACAGGTGAAATCAATGTGGTGGAATCTTCTGGTATCTTCCCGTAGTTTAGTTTTGCATTTCTACAGCGTTGCTTCCATCTGTCTCGGCTCAGCGGCCACAAAGACGGCGAGGATGTTTTGCGTTGAGGCGCGGCTGGTTCCTCGAGCGGGTTCCGGTCAGTGACCAGCTGCTTGACCTCACTGGTTCATCGCCACACTGTTAACCCCTTCACCCTCCTGAACCCTCCTGAGCCCCGCCCTCAGCTTCACTGTTTCTACAGCCGCATCACACGTCTAAGATGGTCTTATTTATTTTAGCCTTCAGATTGTTGTCATTTGTCTTTTTTTAGACACAGTACCTCATTTTTTCCAATGTAAATTGAAGAATTCTAATAAAAAAATTGCAAACATGTCTTGGATTTTTTCCCCCGCACATTTCATGTCGGTATCTACAGATTCACTGATCCACTTTTTTCACTTCTGGTGCCAAGGTTAATGTCAGCCGATACTCATCCCATACATAAAAACAGCTGAGTTGATTTAAAACTTTTCTTCTCCTTTTTTTTTATATATATTTTAAATATATTTGATAACTGCACTACTGCATACACCAAAAGCTTCTCAAGTTTGGTCAAATATGTGAGAACAACTTTCATTTGTTCAATCAGTGCAGTTCAAAATATAACAGCCCATGTAAAAAGAATGGATATACATGGATGTACTGTGGCAAATGTTAAAGTTGGTTTACGTTTACTAACTAGAGGATTTAGTGAAAATTTATTACTGTGGATTTTATGTAGAGACGTCAGAGTAAATGGGGCTGAATGTTCACAGGCTTTTCTCCTTTTCCTTCCACATCATAACGACGCGCTGACGACAAATGTGTAATAAAGATGAAAGTAATAATTGAAAGTAAAAAGGGCTAATACATCAAAGAGAAGCTAGTGGCCTCTACAAAGAGTTGAAATGCTGCAACATTAAAGAAATCATTAAATAACCACAAATGGAGTCAAATGCTGCCAAGTGGCTTCAGACCAATAAAAATGACTCAATGCAGGAGGCAAAAAATTATTAGTGGTTAGCAAGACAAAACATGCACATGTTGGTACTCATGTACTGACTGGGCTAAATGAGCCTCTTATGGCCCATTTAGCCCAGTGAGTTAAGTGGAAGGTTGTGTTTCTGTTTTGAACTGGTCCAGGATTCTGTTTTTGTAACCTCACCTAAAAGCTGCAACACTTCCTATTGTAGAAGCACCGCCTTGTCTTTTTTTTTTTTTCCAGCGGCTTTAATCCTCTTCCATATAATTCACAATAAAGAAAATTGTATACGTTTTTTTATTTTAGCTGTATTCTCTTTAAAGGAGCAACGTTATTAGTTACTCTAAATGTCACTATGTGGCTGGAAAACATGATACTGGCACTTTAAACTGGCTCACATGAATCATTTCTGTTCTTTGAAGGTCTCAGAGGTTTGTTAGAACAGGCTGCTGCTGCCTGACAGCCTCATGACACCATCAATTGGCAAACACTGCTAATCCACCTCATTTGCTTTTGCCGCTTCTGTTTAAATCTCTCCGTCTGGCCGTGTGGTTGGAAAGCCAGGGGATTTGACGTTTGACCTTTATGATCAATGGAAGAGACGGTTTGAACTTCCTCCTTCTGCCTCTGCTCCTTCTGCAGCCATGAATCCTCCTATTTGAGCGTTAGTGACGCTAATCAGCTGCTGTCTGTCTCAAAAACAAAGCCTTGTTGCCAGAAAGCAGGAAAGCAAATCCCTCCAGCTGCGCAGCTTCCAAAACGAGCAGGAATAATCGTCCAAACATCAACCAAAGAACTAAAAGAAACAGAGTGAAGAATTTTCCATCCACTTCATGCTCTAATCTCCAGAGAACTATGTGGAAGTAGAGAAATGCAGAGAAATGCAAATCAGTTCAAAGAGTTTCATGGATACAGAGCAACTAAAAAGGATCGGAAATAATTTAAAGTAACTAAAACGACTGGAACATCACAGAGAAAGATACACAATGGTTTACAAGCTGCACAGTTACACTTTTTGGCAAAATTGCTAAAAATTGCTCTGAGTTTTTAAGGCCTGTATCTTGAACTTCATAAATACAGACCTCAACTCAGCGGCTTGTGTGTGACGTGACAGAAAAGATTCAACTCAAAGTTAAAGTTTATAAAAACTTTTGCCCCAAAACATTTGACACTCGTGTTGGAGAAGAATCCCACAGCAAAGCGTTTATAAAATGACTTTTCTTGCCACGGAACATCAACACGAAGACGACGGAACCAACAGCAACGCAAAATAAGTCCAACCTCCCGACTCCACGAAAGCATTTATTCTGCCGGTGTGGGTCCGGGTTCAGTCCCTCCGTTGTAAAATCGGTGGGAATCATGAAAACGTGTCTGAATGGGTAATAAATAAACTGATGTTTTAAAGAAACGATCGAATGCGAGAAAAAGTCACATTGCTCATGCATGACTCGTCGTTAGGACAGAACAGAACTTTTGGTTTTGATGAGAAACGTCTCAGTCTGGAGGTTCAGTAGGTCCTGGAAGAAAAAGCTCCTTTAGTGGCGATGCAGAGTCAACTAAAGCAACGTCCTTCAGTCCTTATGGAGACATTTCTGTTTGAGCTGCCTACTTTGCTCCAAGGATTAGTCCACCCAATTTACATACACATAGCAAAAGTACATACATAAATAACAACAAGCTTTTGCATTTTTCTTTTTAAATTCCCACCCCTGACTGTTTTTTTTCTTCTTTTGTTGTGAGCATCCATTGCACATCTCAGGAGGAAAAAGTCCTGAAGTTCTCTTTTTTTCTCTCTTTACATCACAAAAACTTGACATGATACCAAGTTTGTAAGATCCACCCAAAGGGGCCCAATAGGGGCCCCAACGTCGTCTGGAGACCAGAAAAACGTGCGGCTCTAAATTCAAACTTAAATATTTCAAAATCTGCCAAAGATTTTATCATTTAACAAACATACCAGTCGGAGTTCATCACCTTTTTAAGCTCACAAAGAGATCCTACATCATAGAATAGAAACATATTTGGGGGGGAAATGTCTTATGATCCAATTCTGCCTCGGTTATTTGAGAAAGACTCTAAACAACCGATTCAGGTCTAAATGCAGCTGCGAGGGAACATTTGTCTGTTTTTAGTCCAGCACACCCACCTTGCATTGTGCAAATGCGGTTTTCTGATGAAAGCTGTTCTTGTTAACGTTAGAAGACGCTTGATTCAAACCAACCGTGACCCAAATACACACCTCGCCGACTTCCCCTCGTCTGTGATTAAGATAATGACAAAAGGTTTCAGTATGAAGCTCTGGTTGGCTTCATGCTGAAACCAAACCAAATACCTGCTGGATCTATTAATACCAGAGCAGGAAAACGTCACCAAATGGCAGGAATCAAAATAAATACCTTGGAAAGAAATTATCGTATGGCTAAAATTTATATTTAGAAAAAGAAAAATGTAATACAAGAACTTCATCTGTAGTGCGATGCAGGCTAAAAGGTTTGAAGGTGACAGACATTATTATTATTTCTGTCATAATATTATCAATATTACAGTTGAGCTGCAAGAGCTTTTCTGTTTAAAAGCAAAAAGCAAGCAGATGAAGCAGCATGTGCAGAAAATACCTCAATAACATAAACTCAAGCATGTCATGAGAATTTCATACTGGCATTAATAATAATAGTAACAGCCCTAAGTCAGTCTAAAAGCATTCATCATTAGACTTAATAATGTATCTATTAATTCATATTAAGTTTATTAATTAATACCCATGAGGTCGATTTTTGAATTTGCCGTATCCTGGGAAACTCTCGATGTGTTGAATGGGAAGAGATGCTAACTGTGGTAAGCAATAAATAATGTGATGTCATTTGGGTGGACCGATCCTCTAAGGAGTGTTTGGAATATTTTCACAGGATTTATTTCCCCATGTGTCTGGAAAACCTCCAGCTCTGGCTTTGGGTTTTCAGTTCTGCCTTTTCAAGTTTCAGATTTCATCACTCTCCCCTCCCACTTGTATTCTTCATGGACAAAAAGGAGTGTAAACAAAAAAGCAAAAACAAAGAAGAAAGAATAACGTCAAAGGTTTCCAGCGAGGGCGTTTCACAGCAGATTGACCTTTGCCACCACTTGCTTGCAGCCCGACTGGGAATATTCTCGCCCTGCAACTACGGGGTAGTACTGGATCTCCCCCGCCAGGCGTTCGATGTTGCTGTGGTCTGGGTAGAATCCCTCTCGGGTGATTTCTTCCAGAAAACACTCCATCACGTGGCTTTTCTCCAGAAGTCCCAGAGGCAAGAGGTCGGCCTCGGCCCACAGCCGGTGATGCTTCTCCAATGTGTTGCGCAGAACGGGGGTCAGCTCCTTGACCAGGTTTCTGTGACGGCCCGAGGCCGTCATCGCCATGGAGATGCTGGAGGAGTTCTGCAGCATGTGCTTGGTGATGTGCGCGTGGCCCAGGTTGCTGAGGAACAGGTAGATGGCGTTCAGGTACTCGTTGGACTTCTTGGAGGCGACGAGCTGCAGCAGGACGTCCAGGATCTCCACCTGCATGTGCTCGGCCTCGTCGAAGATGAAGAGCGGGATCTTCTCCTCCTCCTCCGCCCTCTCCACCATCTCTGAGATGAGAGAGGAGAGGTTGCGGGCGCACTGCACGGCCTCCGCCTCCTGGGGGCAGTGGTGAAGCACGTAGTACTGCAGCACCAGGGCGTCCCCCACCACCGAGCGGAAGTGTCCGGCCAGCAGGCGGCCCAGGTGGCTCTTTCCCACCCCGCTGGGCCCGTGGATGGACACCACCAGCGGCTTGTTGTGTACGTATGTGGACAGGTAGTCTTTCAGGTGGTACACCAGGCCCTCCACCGCCCCCTGCTGGCCAAACACCTCGCGCCTCAGAGTCTTCTCCAAGCCTTCCAGGTCGTATCGGAGAACGTGGTCGTCCAGGTTCTCGATGGCGTTGTACACCTGGGGAGAAACAGTCACACGGTTTAGAAATCCGACGACACGTGGGAATATTTTTGCATCGCTTCATTAATGCGTTTTATGAAATAATCAATAAACCGTTTTATATGTTCAGAAACTACAGATTATGCTAAAACCTGGCTCATCTGTATATCTTCCTTTTAAGCTACTATTGAATAAAAGCCACTCGTGTTGTAAAATCAGTCTGTTAAAGGTACAGCGTGTCGAGTTGAGAGACATCTGGTGGCGAAGTTTAAAACTGCAACCAAAATGTTTGGTCTGGTCTCTGTAGTTATTTCACTATTTGTGATTGGTTGCTAAGGTTGCAACTAATAATAATAATTATTATTATTATTAATTCTTTTGACAATCAGACAAATGCATTTTAGTCAAAATAAAATAACATTAGCAAATTAATATTTCTGTTCCTTTTCAACTCAGAACGTAAACACTTTATTGCAATAGGGAAGCATTACTGTAGTGACTGTAGTGAACCTTAAACATTACATATATTTACATATGTATGTACATATACATATAGGCTTTTTGTATACTCCAGTTAACAATTAATCTATTATCTAATTATTTCAATAATCGATTCATCACAATTAATCCAACTAATCGTTGTATCCTTTAGTTTTACTGTAAGCATCTCTTTGTATATCATCATCAAGTACAGTTTCCAGTATCTACAATTTTTTGTTACCATCTATTTTACTTGTCACAGTTCAGTCATCTAGACTAACTCTCCCACCTTCCTGCAGACGACTAAAACAAACGTGTGAATGTCTGCGGTCCTCACCAAACTCCCACGTTATGTTTGACGATTTCGGTTCAGAAAAACCAGCGGCATCAATTAACTTTGAGCTCCTCTCCAATCTTAAATTTAACAAAAAGAATGTTCAGACGTACGCGTGTTGAACCGAGCCTCCAACGTGTCAGACGATCATCAAAATGAACCTCGTCTGGACATGAGTTCCAGATCAATACCTGAAACGACTCCATCGCATTTAAGAACTATTGACACAAATGTTACTTTTGTTCTTCCGCTATTTTGAACCAAGACTGCGAGTTCAGACCATTTAATACCAGGAAAATGTGGGAGCTGATCTTTAGAAGGCTTGACCCGCCTTCAACTTTTTTCCAAAATGTGAAAAAATTTGTGACTTGCAAAACAGAAAAAAAACCCTCAAAAAACGATGGTTAAGGGGAAGTACTCGGTAACACATCCGTAAAAATGACTGCAACTGACGGTAACACGAGGAACACCCACAGCCCATAGCTGCCAGAAATGACTTTGATATAATAAACCATTCATTGTGGAAAAACTTCTTAAAATATGCATTTATAAATACCTCACATCACCTCCGAATCTCTCTTTGTGGTTTCTAATGTAACGCCTTAATAATCATGTTGTGTGGAATGTGAAGGGAAGCTGGTATGTCTGCACACAGCGCTGCAGGGCAGCAGTAACTGAATCCACTTAATCACATCTGGATCAACCAGACTGCAGAATAATGACAGCTTGCTAACAACAGCAACAACAAGCAGGCAGGGCAAAGGTTGAACTGAAACCTAAAACTGCCAGCGAGAAAAGAAAAACCCAGACTGTTGAGGTTCAGCAGGCAGAGAGGAGCGGCTCTCTGAGGCTGGATCATTTCTGTCAAAGGTTTAGTCAGTCAATGTCTTTTAACATCCAGAGTATTGTTTTCTTATTTCCCTCATTGATTAGACAGTATTTACAGGAAAGGTATTTAAAAAAAAAAAACATTCAAAATTGCGATGAAAACTGTTTTAGAAATCAGTTATTACTGAGTGGCAGGCCAATCTGTTTTTATATTTTCTGTCTTTTTATTGCTTTTCTTTGTTAAAACTTCCCCGAAGCCTTCTTTTGTCGCTTTGGATCTTCTTGAAGACATTTTTTGACAACATTTCACTTTTAAGATCATTTCCGTCAACTTATTTAATAGATTTCTGTAGCTGTTTTGGCGTCTTGAATTTTTTAAATTTATTTTTCTTTGTAGATTTTGCCTTTTTTGTTAGGAATTAGTATTTTCAAGCAACGCAGTGCCAATTTATCGCACCAATCAAGTAACTGTGTCAACATAACAGTTGCTGATGTGGTTTATGACACAGTTACATAGCGGTTGCTATATTGATTTTGATATTTAACACCTTGAAATTGGGCCTCTGTCCCTTTAAGAAGCCACTGCTCTTTCTGGAACTCCGCCTTCAGGAAGTCATCACTCCCATATTAACCGTTTTTTACCAGTGTAACACTGAGATGTAGTTTGTATAATGAGCTCAACAAAAACCAGCTGTTTGCTAATTGTTACTGGCTAGTCTGAAGGAGCTGAGAGGAAGCTGTGGGGGGAGGGCTGCTCTGTGAGGCGGAAGCTTGGAAACTGCATCTCAAAGGCGGAGCTAAGTCCCCCCACGTGTTTGCACAGCTGAATGGTTGCCACGGAGATCAAAGGATCTCTCAAACATGCGTAAATAAATCAAAACCACGTCAGCAGCCTTTAGACGAACGCCTATTCTTCCAAACCAGGAAAGGAATTAGACCAGAGGATACTCACTTATACTTATCTACCAACGCTGAATAGGAGAATCTAGTTTATTTATTTAGGATCAACATTAATTTTTTCTTTTTTGGCTCTTTGGTTTGTTATTTTGTTTCTGTTTCCTTTTCATTTCTGTAAAGCACTTTGTGATGCCTTGATGCTGAAAATGTGCTACGTAAATACAATTACCTTTATACCAAAGCAACACTCCAGGTGTGTTTTTAATGAGGGACTAACATTGTAACAAGATGTAAATGTCAAAAAAATAAAACAAAATAAAAAGTGATTTCGCATAATCCTGGCTCTTTAAGTGAAGCCAGTTTCTACATAATAAAACTGTTCTCTGCTTTGTTTTTCCATAATCGCAAAAATCAAAACATTAGAGTACAAGTCAAAGTGAGAATGTCTACAGCTGTCCTTCATGTGGACGACTGTCAGTGGTTTACCTGGACAAAGACTATTGCGATCAGCAGGTAGAGGCAGTACGTGGCCCGGCTGCGCTCCTGCTGCTTGGGCACCGTTTTGCACGGCCCGTCGTTGGGAAACAACACCCGCCTCTTCCTCCTCCTCTTCTTCCTCTGAGGGACAGAAGGAAAGGCGGGGAAAGTGGCCGGGTTGAGTCCGTCGAAGGTGAAGATTTTGGGGCTGGTGCGTCCCGGAGCCCCGGCGAGGCCGCCCGCCGCCGCCGCCGCCACCAGGCTGTGGGCCATCTCCTGACGCCGCAGCTTCATGGCCTGGTACTTCTGCTTGATGCGGATGACGGCGCGCAGAGAGGCGAAGCTGGACGGCTGGGTCGGGCCGCTCCGCCCCGTCTGGTTCTTCCCTCCGTCGCTGTCCACCTCCTCGTCCAGCTCCCCCTCGAAGTCCTCCACCAACTGGGAGGAAGAAGTGCTGCTGCTTTCGTCACTCATCTACGGACAGAAAGGACAGACTTTACCTGCAGGAGACGCCTCTTCCAAATACCGTCTGACCCTTCCTCCGTTTTTAGCACATCCTCAATTTTTCAAGAGGAAACCGTTTACTAACACGTCACCACATTACTATCAGTATCCCGGAAAAAAATAAATAAATCACTACCTAATAGACAAAGAAAATTTTAAGGGTTTTAATCATCGCAGCAGACAACATCTAAAGATGAAGAGTATTTAAATATCAAGCTGCAACATGACAGGATGTATGAAAATCAACAGCGACAATATAAAAGGCAGTGGACTCACTTATTCCTGTGTTATTTTGACTATTTATGAATGCAGTATTTTATTTATTTTTAGCCTTTAATCAGGCCAATAAAACACTCATTTTAACCAGAGTCTTTCAACAACATTTGGTTTGGCTCTTAGGCTCCATGATCCTGCCGACAACGCCAAAAAATATAAAACGCTTCTGTCCACTCATCAGGTATGAAACGTTGCCCATTATTATCAATAATAAAAGTTTTCTATGTTCTACACAGTCTACTGTCAGGAAAGCGGGTGATGTGATTGACGAGTGAAACCAGCTTGATGTGAGGTTTTTCCTCTTTGTACCTGAAATCATTCAAAGAGTACGTTTAGTGTCGCCTTTGATATTGAAATGCGTTTGATGAACTGAAACAGAAACAATCTGTGGCTTTTAGAAAAAAAAAACTTGATTGCACAATTAAATTTAGTTACCTGTCAGATGTGTGCATTTTATGACCATTTATTTCACAAATTAATCGACAAATATGAACAATTGAGGCACAGAGGTACAAAAGGAATGTGGGAAAGAGCATAAAAGTGGTGAATTTCCAAGAAACAGTTTAACCCGGGAGTGGGTTTCGTGCGAAGGACGTCCTCTGCGTCTTTCCTTTGTGGGTTCAAGGAAATAAAACGCTGACTGCTGAGGGTTGAAACAACCACAGTGTAGAGAACAAGACGGTGAACTCTCTCTTTTACAACTCTGGGGTTGATTATTGATGCAGGAAATCGTGGTTAAAAACCACAGAAGACCAATTCGGTCCGTTGCAGCAACATTTCTACGTTGAAACATGCATTGCAAAGCGGAACCTGTCAGTAAGTGTGAAACGCCGTCAGCCGGCTTTGCTGTCAGGACACCTTCTCAAATGGGAGGGTCATCAGAGAGGACGAACGCGTCTGCAGCACCACGGCGCCGAAACGCAGCATTGGGAGGAAGTGCAATAAAAGTTCCGTTTACGCTGCGGACTGTGGGGTTTGTGCTTTTCCAGAACTAAAACACAGCAGGTCAAAAGGTTGAGCTTTTTTTTTTTTTTTTTTTACTTCTACAGGAAAAAAAAACCCTGTGGAATAATAAATCAACATTGTGGTATTTGGTGCATTTGGGTGAAGCGGTGGGGAGGGCTTGGCTCTGAGCTGATGGATTCAATGCCTCTGCCATCTGTCTCGCTTTGCTCCGTTACCAAACCAAGAGTTGCTCAACGTCACATCGACAACATATGTGCCTGCAACCACACAGACGTGAGATATTTAAATGGTTTAAAAATAATAATAATTACAAAAACTGCTTCCTTGCAAAGTTTCAGCTAAACTATCAGCAGCTTTCAGCAGCAGATGAATAAAAGTTGACTGCTGAGAACAGCAAGGATGCAGGGAGATTCAGGCAAAGCCAGGCAGACATCAGAAGATAAAGATCACATTTGCATTTTAAAGAAAGCTTCTCTCTCTCCCCTTCCTTTTCTTTTTCTTTTTTTTTTTTTTACATAATATTCAAATGGAATACAAAAGAAAAAAATCACACTGTTACTGGAGAGAGAGGGAAGTAGCAGATGTTTCGGGAAGCTTTGCAAGGCCCTGCAGAGTGACGACACATGCGACAGTTTCCTCTGCATGACATGCATGCAGCGCGTTCGCCTTCATCCAGGTGGATTTCAACATGCTGACCTGCTTTGAAACCGGCCATCGTTTCATCTGCAGAAACTCCTCATTCAGACTGTGGCAGCAGTGTGAATCTGAGCTCCCAGCACAGGAACTGTCAGATCCACCCAGGAGAGGCAAAGGACAGCGAAGGCTTTGTCTGACCCATCAGAGGAAAATGGAAAGTTATAAAACACACACACACACACACACACCCACACACACACACACACACACACACACACACACAGAGTTCTTTTACATCAGCGCTAAAGAATTCCACTGGGCTCAGTGGGAGCAGAAAGCAAAGGGATATCAGAGACCATCTGGTTGTTTTCCTGCGTTTTCACATGCAGAGACCTGAAAGACCAACAGCATTCCAGACTGATCGAAAACTTTACCCTGATACTACTAGTACTAGCACTAGTACTATAACTAGTACTACAAACACTACTACCACCAGTACTAACTAGTACCACTAGTAGTACTAGTACTACCACGAGTACTTAGAAATGTCTTTGAGTTTCCTCCTCATAAATTCATCATGTTTCCACACAAACATCTCAGATCTGCAGGTCCGATTCCACTTAATGCGGGTATTTCAAACGAAATGACTTCTTTTTTTTTTCCAGTCGCACACACACAGAGCAGGTCGCGCATCCCTCCAGCTCCAGCTGTGAAGGCCAAAAGTCAAGGCAGAACTCAAGACAACTCGTCTCTCCGATTACCTTCGAATGTGGCACGAAACCGTCCAGAGTGGGCCGACAGTCCGTGGAGGTTCAGTCCATGACTCGGAGGAGCGCAGGAAGCCCGGCTGTCTGACGCGGCTCCGCCTCGTTCTTCCTCTTTTTATTCTCTCTGCCGACACGAACACGATTGTTTCCTTTAATTCACTCCAGCTTCTAAGACTCCCTCTCTCTCTCTCTTCCTGTCTTTCTCTCTCTATTTTTTTTTTTATTACATTTAATTATATTTTTAAAGGCACGTGAGAATCATTGGTTATATCGAGCCTGCAGCGAAGCGTTAACTGTTAACTGCTCCAGTCACCATGACGACAGAGTCACAGAGGGTTTTCTCTTCTACGGTTTGTGGCTAAAAGTCCGAAATGCCGAGCTGGAAATGTGAGCAACGGCTCCCCCAGTGGCTGGAAGCCGGAACTACAACTTGGAAATCCAGAAATGTGGCATGAATCACATCGCGAGAGTCCCGTTAAATATCACCGGCAAAGAGTCATCTCATGTGTTTACGAGTTTATTTAAAAACCAGCGATCATTGCTCTGCAGTTGTCTGAATGTACAGATGATCTCACAAATCTGCTCTGGGATAATTGGAAAATAAACAAATAAATATTATTGCGAAAAAAAAAACACAGGATAAAGATTCAGACTGGACCAACCTGTCAGTGACCGGGACCGGACCGGACCGGACCGGCTCTCTTCACCTTCAGTTTTTCAGCATCAAATCGATGATGCGAGAAGAAGAAGAAAAAAAAGTATGGAGAGCCCGCCGTGCCAAACAAAACTTCAAACAAAGCGCCTGAAATCAGTGCAAAGCAAAAACGAAACTGAATCAGTTGACGAGGCTTCAACGACCCAAACCTGTCCGTTTCTGTTTCTCTTCCTGCCCTGAGGAGAATTCAAGCATGTCAGCAGCAGCTTCCCGGGGGCGGAGCCATCACTGGCCTGTCAACCAATCAGAGGCGGACCTTAAGAGCGGGCGCCCACCTGGTGTAACGCGCAGCCAATGAAAAACAATTCAAAAGTCTTCCTGCCTCAAGGCGTTTAGTTAGCGGCAGAGAAAATGTTGACAGTCTGTAGATAAAACATGAAGGATCAAATGTCCACATTTATCCCTGTTTAAAGTTGCAAACCAATGAAATGTTGGATTATATTAAAATCTTTCTAAAAACATCTCAACATTCTGATTGACATAGATTCCAACAAACAGATTTTGGTCCAGGAGATGGAGGGAAGCGGTGAAAAGTGGACGGTTGGATCTGAGATGTTTGGAGGATCTTGAGATTCCTCTACGAAAATGTCACCAAGTGCGATTTGCACGTCAGCAGTTCACGTCTCATTAAGCTCCAGACATGGCAGCTCAGGACGTCGCCTCGTCGGTTCCCACGTCATGATGTAAACTAAAAGGTTTCCAGAGGTCATCAGAGGTCAACCCCCCATCCACACACTCACATTTGTAAAATCAAACTAATCTGGAGTCAATCAACTTATGCAACTTTTATTTGGACAAATTCTTTGTTAATATCCTTTGAGGTTTGCCGTCCTCACCAACGCAAAATCCAAAATGGCTGCCATGTGTTTGCCAGTGGTGACAGCAGCACAACTAAAATGGTCTGATTTCTGAGGATTTCCCTCTCAGCAGATCCGTCACTTGTTTTAATAATAATATTAATAATACATTTTATTATATTGACTCAATGTCACCGAACAGGAAATACAAGAATTTTGGCTTCTCTTCGCAGGGAGGGAGGACGATGAGGACAATGAGGAGGATGGGGACGATGAGGACGATCGGGACGGTGAAGACAATGAGGACGATGAGGACATCTCACTAGTTTTCGCTTGATTTTTATTTTTGGAACAGAAACTCAAGTATCAGTTACTGTGTAACGCTGCGATAGAGGTTCATCTTTATTTTGTCGCGTTAAAGTATTTCACCACTCCTGGAGGTGTAACTTTCAACTGAACTCAGAAGTTTTGAGTTTTTGATTTAGAAATCCGCATCAAGTCAGTGAACTGGAGGCTTAGTTGGAAAGTTAGGGGAAAAAAAATAAATAAATAAAAATCCAATATGGCTGCTGTTAAATCCTGCTGAGTTTCATGGAATCAGACATGGCTGTCCAACATGTTGCTGTGAAGACTTTAAATGCATAAAGGACAGAAAAACGGTTCTGATTTGTGAGGCGGGTAAGACGCACACCCCTCTCTGATCGGCAGCACACTCCCACATGCACAGCAGCATTCCAGCTGTTTGTTGTCGATAAATAACTGGATCTCCAGTTGGTTGGCTGGTGCAGGTAGATCCAGCTCGCCTCCACCTTCATCTCGGCGTCAAAGGCGACTGAAGACAAACCGGGTCTCTGACACGTCTTCCTCCTCTGATTCAAAAAAAAGAAGAAGAACCTTGATGACGTGACTGAACTCTTGTTGAAGCTTTTTTTCATGTCTCCTTTGCTCTTATTAAAACCACAGTTTTATTTTTGGTTTCTCATCACTTTGTTGATTCACATTTAGGCCGTAGATGGCCTATCTGCAGGCCATCTACAGGGGATATAAATAGAAAAGGTGTGAACCATGTTTGCATAGAGCGTGATCTGGCTGCCCGTCACGCTAAGCATGCTTCATACAGAAGCCGTCACGGTTCCCCTGCAGCCTGTGTGACATTTGAGAATCCGTCAGAAGGAAGTTTGCATGTCAGCGAGCCGAAGCTCTCGGCCTCCGTACACAATTTACTCTCGGCAAGCAGCTGCGTGTAAACTGTTAGTGTTGCAGTGGGAAGCAGGGGGATTAGTCAGAGACCCTCCGTGTCACTCAACAAGACAGAAAGTTGCACTTTTGACTTTGTTGCCACTGCAACTCGACAAGAGCCATCTCAGATATTGTCACCTGGCAGACGGCTCGACAACTTGGTTAAAAAAAAAAATAGTGTCTTTTTTAACATTTGAGAAGATTATTAAAAAATACATTTCTTAATGAATGATATAGCAAAGACACAACTCTTTTTGTCCAGAGACAAAAAGTTTTTTTTTCTTGTAAAATTGCTCTAATTTAGGAAAAAAAATTTTAATTGTAGAGCTAAAAAGAGAAGATCTTTGTTATTTACAAAAAATGTTGAAATGGTAATCTAAAAATGAAAAATGTGTATTATATATATAGGGATACGTAAGGGGGGAAAAGCACAAACAGGAGAAATATGTAAGGAGGATCTTGTTTTGTCCAACAACCTGTGAATGCATCGCCTCTTCTAGTAAAGTGACAGTTCAAAAAACTCAAAAAAGTATGACGAAAAAAAACCTTTGTATTTTAAAATGAAACAAACCATGATCAAAATAATGCTTCATACTATACATGACAATAACTTAAGTGTTTTGTACAGTAAATACAAAAACAGGAGAAGGTGACTTTTTTTCCCTGTGTTCAATCTGTCTGTTGGTCAACCTCTTACTGCTTTTTCTGCAACAAGATCAAGATTTTTCTCTATGAAAGTAACATGCTGGGCCACTGCAGATAGAAAAAAAGAAAATAAGAGAAAATTTCCACCACAAAATTTTAAAGAAACCTGAACATTTCTAAGTTTAAAAGTAAAAAAATTACTAGAAAAAAAAACATTTCTGAGAAATTTCTTTTGACGTCTAAAACTGAAATTTCCACATTTTTTTTCCTCTAATATAAACATTTCCGAGGTTTTTTTTCCTAGAAATTTTCAACATTTCTATGACTCTCACAATTTGAGTTTTCTGAAGAAAATGTACTTTCTTTTTTACCTACAATGGTCCAAATATACAGTCATATGCAGCAGTGCTACTAATAGAGCAAAACAAAACTAAAACGTAATAAAAGTGAAAATCTTTCCCATTTCTTTTTTATTAGGCCTATTATTTACAAAAAAAAAACGTTGAAACTTTGATCTACAAATAAAAACCGCAACGCTGAGATAAAATGAACTCAGTCGGGCAGAAAGTCCGTTCCGCTCAGCTTGTCACTGTGGACTACTGATTATAAAAATGCATGAATATTACTGATTAAATGTTTTTCCATCTATATTTTCCTGCCTTCCTGCTGAGTGTTAACACTGACTGACAAATGTAAAAAAATGAAATTTCATCTTTCTTCTGCACAGCTGCTGCTTATTTCAGATCATTTTATCAGGCTTGTTTGAACTGCAAGCACTTATTTAAACAGATAAAACACTATTTAACCAAAGCAGCAAAAGGAAATAGCTGAATCATCACAAAATCAGTGAGACGTCCCACTTTTCCTTTTGAAAGCTACTTTAAAGTCGAACGGTTAGCTGAAAACATGGTTGCTGTACTGTCCAGGAGGCTGGATGAACTCCACAGCTCAGCAGTGAAAGACTTGCAGTCATGGTTCCTGAATGTAGATCGGAGCTCCTGCCTACTTCCTCTTCCTGCCCCGGCCCCGGCGGCCCCGCCCTGACGAGGGGCCCGCCCCGTCCGGGCCCAGGGCGCCGTCCGCCTGGCCGGCCGGGATGTTGATGTGGCCCTCCTGGATTTCGCTGCGGGCCTCGGAGGACAGCTGCTCGATCTTCTGCTGCGTCTCCAGGTAGAACATCACGTCTCTCAGCTGCTCCTGCAGCTCCGTTATCACCACGTCCTTTCGCTCGCCTGCAGCGCGTTTCAGTAAAGCACAGAAAAATCATCTGTTTAAATGTGAACAACAGAAAGACTTGGGTTTTTTATTTATTACAGGGATTCTGCAGGTTTCACAAACTCAAATGGAAAACCTTTTTAAGACCGAAATTTTTTTACGAATGAAATTTAAGACCCAAATCGCCACAGAAAACAAGAGAAACTTGTAGATTTCATATAGTAGTAGTGCTGAGCTTTATTGTGCAGAATCGGCGTAATATTTTATGGGTTTTTAACAGAAGTGAGCAAATATCGTCCAGCCAGCTGGCGATAAATGGACACATACCATTGATGAATGCAAAAAAGCGTTCTAGTTAGCGGTAGATTAAGAAGTTCTGCCTCAAAGACCATCATTTAACTAGCAACCATGCTAATTGTGGCGATAATTAAACAACAGAATTTAAGACTTGTGATTAACATTTTTAAGGCCAACTCACACAAACCCCCCACAAACTTAAGACATTTTAAGGCTTTAACTTCAGATACATTAATTTAAGACTCTTAAGGCCGTGTGGACAGCGGACAGTGTTAGAGGACTACAGAGATATTGACTGGCTGGTCAGAAAGCAAGAACAACTGAATGCACCGTTTCTATGAGGTGACAGGTCACAGAGCTCCTATTTTAGCTAACCATGCTAACCCTGCAAACTGTGCTG